TTTCGATTCAAGCTTTTAGCTCATTGAAGTTTTGGGGAGGAGATATAAATACCTACATATAAAAATGCTGATATTTTTGATAAATGATAAATTTGGAAGATGATAAGAAATTCATGCAGCATCTTTTTGAACATGGGGATTAGTGCTGTGTATTGGACAATCAGTTGAGATGACTCACTTGCATTTCTGCATTTTTGTTCTCTAACACATTGCAGCTGATTACTAGAAAGTGAGGACAGATTAAAAATCTATTTTGGCAATACAAATAAATATGGTAAAAATATGTACATTTGATTGCAATTTATTTTACAATTTTGGGGTTTTTTATACCCCCTGAAAAAAATAGATTATGTTGGAAAATAGTTACATTATTTTAATGAATTAGGTATTTTGAACAATTTGATCAAAAATAGTGTTAAAATTGCATTAAATATGCTGGAAAAAAAGCAAGTCATGTTATCATAATATGATTTTTAAGGTAAATAGTAATCAAATTTTATTAGTAGCAACCAATGTTAAAATCACCCATTTAGTTCCTTCTTTTTGTGAATATATTTGTGTTTTGGTATTAAGCTTACTCTATCCCCAGGTCATAACTAATACCCAAATACTTCCTTTTCACGTACTAAGGCTTACTCAGAGAATGAATACGAGTAAATTAGTAATGTAGCCAATATTTAAATGAGTTGTTTTTCATTAGGAGAAATCTTTACACAGCAGAGCGATAGGAAGAAACTATAAGTGTAACTATCTTTGTTGTCCAGTTGATATGCTGGAAGGTCCTTTGTAGTTATTCATTCTTATATTTACAAATTGAAGACTAATTCACAGCAGTATTTTTTCCCCTTTGAATATATTCATTGCATAACTTGATTACACATTTGTCAGCTTTGGACTAATTATTTTTCTACAGCTAGGGCAGGGCATTGCATCTTCTGATTGTCTTCCTTACTAATAGGATTCTGTCTGCTTCAGCAGGCAGTAATTGAAGGCTTCATGTACAAGATTTAAAGAAAGGGTGGAAGAAAAAAAAAGTTTTAGTCTCTATGGGCCATTGTCACTCTTTGTGGTAAGCAGTAGAACAGAAAAAGGAGGAAATTTAGCTTGAATAGAAAAGTCAAAGAGGAAGAAAAGCACCGGACATGAGAGAATGTGTTATAATGCTGTTGAATTATGCGTAACGAACCCTGCTCTGCTGTAAATATCCCGATAGTGAGTGTTCAGGTGTAAATTTACTTTCTCAAATGTTGAATTTTAAAGAGTAGATTTTAAGCGAGTTAGTCTGCTGCTGTATATTCACTGCCATGAAATTTTCATAGCCTTTCCCCATAAAAATGCATCTCTTTATAGTGTAGCTATATTTTGTCTACAGGAAAAGAGAAAATTACTGCCAGTCTGTACTCAGACTAGTCATCATTGCAAAGTCAGTATTTGGCAAATGCTGTTACATTGTAGTATCTGATACTCTGTGTTTTCTCTTTATATCAACTATATATCAAATTTTTCTGTATAGAAAATTTTATTTTCCTGGGAAGTGACCGAGACGATGTACTTTATTTTTAATTCCTGAAAGACTGAGTTACTTTCTAGAAATACATAGTATTTTATTGACGTTGAATTTGATTCCTAATGTATATTTCCTTATCTACTGATAAGTACTATATTTATATAAAAACAATGTATTAACTCATTTTCTTTTTTTGCATGTCACATATGCTCAGAATATAGCATTTAACACTCTTTAAAAAAAATTGTAAACATTCATAATATGCAAATATTTCTCACATTTCTTTGTTCTAATCTGTCTTGATTTTCTTAAATGGAAAAAATATTAACAGCTGCAAATGTTCCCGAATATTTTAGTGATGTAAAATCCGGTTTAGAATCAATATTATCGTAGAATTAAATACTACAGCATAGCAGAAACAGCCATCTTGAAGCTATTAGTAAATATTTTGTTCTGTTTTCTCATTTACTTTGTTTTTTGTGGGCTTTTTTTGGTTTGGTTTTGGGGTTTTTTTTGAGGGTTTTTGTTGTTGTTTGGTTGGGGAGTTTGTTTTTATTTTTGTTTGTTTGTTTGTTGTTTTGGTTTTTTTTTTTTTTTCTAATTTACAGATGTGTCCTTTATTGCAACAGAACCGTGCTCAAAAAACGTGTCTTATGTTACAAGTTGTCCATAGGACAAATTCATTCCTGTGAACCTACAGTCAATCAATGTACATCCTAGATTTAAATGTATCACAGTGCCGTTTTCAAGGCATATTAAAGTCAGTGATTTCTTATTGGTTTATTGTAATTTTTGGTTTCGTTTGGTTAGGGAAATTTTTTTGTTTGTTTTTAATTCAAATTCTAACCTACAAAGTGAAAAATTATTACTGACCTCATGGAGAAAATGAAAGTTTCTCACTAAGAGTGAACGTGTTATTAGTGATTAATTTTTTGCTGCTGAGAGATTTTTTAAATGGCTTTCTAGGCTTTTCTAGATATTTAGTTGAGCACAACACACCTCTTGGAAAATCCTCAAGGGTTCACAGTAAGAGTCAGCATATAAATGCAGTAACATGTATTTAGTTGAAAAAACAGCTATTAACTAAATCCTTCAATCCTTTAGTGTATTTAAAATATCTAAATAACTGTCAAATTGGTTTTACTGCTAGTACCAACTGCTTCATCCTGCTATAAATGCATCCAGTTTTACAGATCATACAAATATATTTATAACTCTTCCGAGATACTAGATTATATTCCCTTTTCTAAGGAACATATTTTGGTTTCCAAAGTTCAAAAGCAGCTGTAAACCCACTGAGTGGTTCTCTTCTATACATGCTTTTTAAAATGAAATAAGCCTTTCTGTTGTAGTCCAATTCTTCCCTCACCGAGCAATTCCAGATCCCATGTCGGTAACCATTGATAGAAGCTAGATTAGCTGCTGCTAGTTATGCGTATTAACACTTTGTGTAAAATTATCTGAGTATCAGGCCCTTTGCATCTTGCAAGCCACATGCAAACTCACATTTATTGATTTTATGTGGTTTGTTCAGGGCTATGGAAAAGTACTATTGATCTCCTAAGTGATTTTGCAAATTCACATGTAAAAATATCAGCACAAAACTCATCTCTCATGCTTCAGACCACCTTGTCTTTCCCAGAACGCTGACTTTGTATCACTTTCAGCTTTTGATAAAAAAGGGTAAAATCAAGCCTCCAGGCTATGAAGCACAGCAGGAGTGCCAACTAGCAACCTATTTATGTGCATACTCAGAGATAATCTGCTTCTGTGTTGTCCCAAGACACAACTGTTAAGTAAATAAAGTGACTAATAAGACTATTGTTTCTATAATTATCCCCTTGTCGAAGTCAACAAGAGAAATAGTCATCTTCTACATTGCAGCATAAATAGATGAAATCATTGATATAACTAGCTAAGTAGGTAATTTTTGTACTAGTAATATTGTTTTATAACCTCCTATTTAAAAGAGAGGTCTTTGAATGTATCTGTAATCCAGACAAAAGAAATAGATTGACCTGTGATTGGTGACATTAGAAAAGTGCCCCATGTTTCCTTAATTAGTATAATGTGTTATGAGATTTTGATATGCTTAGTTTAAAAAGAAAAAAAAAAGACAGAAATTACTTCTCGTTTAAAGAGAACCTGCTTCCTGCTTAAGTGGCTAATATTTTAATTAAGTCTGGAGTGAAGTTTTTTGAGTATCTCCTGATAAACTCCCTCCTTTATGTTGATGGTAATTAAACAGATCCCCCAGGGCTTGGGTAGGCGCTTTGCAAGGCCCGTGCTGATTGTCAGGCAGGAGACACTGACCAGTTGGTTTGCTCTTGAATAGCCTACAGCGTGCTGTCAGCGCAGCAGTTTGATTTTTCTGTATTGTGAGCTGTTGTCAGGGCTAACTGGGTCCTATTGTGACTGAAGATGTTGCGCAAATTGAGGCAGATGGCTCTGATTCAGACACGTGTCATTCAGAAAGAGGAGAGGAGATTGGCCCTGCAAAGTGGGGTCAGACGGGGTCACAGACCTGCTCTACACTTGTTAGTGTTTTCAAAAGCCCATGTGCAGCAACTTTGTTGTTGAGAAGTAACCAAGAAGGGGTGGGGGGAGAGAGAAAGCGTGTTGGACTCCTTGTGGAAGATGGAAAGATGGACGCTGTTGCCATCCTCTTGCTTCCTGTCTCTTGGGCCTGGCTCTGCACACAGAATGAATTAACAGGATTGACAGAAGTTCATTGTGCCTAAAATGGCTTTTCAGTCAATTGTGGTGCTTAAAAGGCTAGTTTTGCTTTTAATTCCATGTAATTAGTGGGTTCTTCATGTCTTGGAATTTAGTAAGGGTGCATTAGTCCTAACTTTTGTCTGTCTGATTCGTTGGTAGTTTTTATGTGCTTTGTAAGATTTTTTTATGATTGTAAAATATTTAAAAATATTTGTCATATTTTCATGGTTCTTGAGATAAATTCACAGATAGAATAACTCTGCCTTGCTGTTACTGTCATTTCAAGCTGATTGTTTTGTATGTTTATAATGTTTAGACACATTTCAGAAAGTACAACAGTTTGGCTTTTTTTATGTGTTCTGCTACATTTAACATAGTTGTATTGTTTTTGAGGCAGCAAATAATGAAAATCCTTGGAAAATTCTATCCAGCAGTAGTCAGGTTGTCAGTGTCTATGAATATTGTAGATGAAGTGAAGACTTAATATTTACATTTTAAAATTATTTAAATAAGATTTAGTTTGTATTACTAAATACAACATTTTGCATGATACTACTTTACCCTTCTAAAATGCAAAAATATTTACATAAATTATGTTTGAAGAATTTATGGGAGGTTTTATGGTTTATCACCTGAAACACATTAATGAATTTTAAAGTATTTTATTATATTCGAGCTCATTTAACTCTTGGAGAAAGAAACGTTGGCAGTCTTTGACCTTAAGATCCTCAGTGATTTTTCTCTTTTCTTTTTTTATTTTTCCTTTTCCCTCCAGGTTTGCAGCTAAGACTGTGCACAGTGGGTCACTGCTGCTAGTCACAGTGGAGCTGAAGGAGAGCTCTACAGCACAGCTCATCATAAACACAGAGAAAACTGTGATTGGTTCTGTTCTGCTGCGGGAGCTGAAGCCTGTCCTGTCCCAGGGGTAACCTGCTTACATCTGGACTTCAGAATCTGGCACACAACAAAAGTGCCTGGCATCCACTGCTGCTGCCTTTCATTTATAATAATAGCCCTTCCATCTGGCAGTGGGGAAAGAATACACTCTTGACATTCTTGTCTTCTGTTTTAGAATGCTAGTGCGTATCTATCATGTATGCAAGTCCTTTCCTTTTTTTCTGCTTGCTAACCAAAGAACATATATTTTACTGTCAGTTATCTGCGCTTTTAAATGTATTTCCCATTTGTTCTACCCTAGTCCTTCCCTCTCTTTTCCCTGCCCCCACTACCTTCCTTCCCCGTCAGTTTCCACTCCCCTCCATAGTGGACAAATACTAGGTAATAAAGTTCAAAGGAAATCACACTGCTTGAAAACCGAGCTCAAATGGCAGGTGGGTTCCAGCCACATACACAACAAGTATGTGGTTCAGAGAGAATTTTGGTGTAAGTGTGAAAACACCGTAAGTACAGCAAAATGGTGTTTGTTTTCTAGAAATGCTTGTAAACCTGAACTCATCTATTGAGAACATTGTTCCTACCTGCTGTCATTTTCTCAAATATTTTGTTAAGATGCTAATAAAGTAGTGCCTATGAACAGAGGCTCCCTCTTTCTTGTTTTAGTAGAAATTCGATAACAGACATGCTGGTATTGTATATACCTGGTTAACTAAAGCAAATACAAATGAGGTGGACACTACATTCATATCAGTAAATTGTTTTTGCAAAAGTAGCCAGTGTTTGTGCTCCTGTAATAATTGTCTGCTATACGGTTACATTTTTGTTAACAAACAAAACCAGCAGCTGCCTATTTTTAAATTGGCCTACTCATGAAATACTGTTGAATTGTTCAAATGAGTATTAAATGAAATACTGATTATTAGGCTGTTGTGGCAAATACTGTCATCTAGCTTGATGAATAGTTCTGCTTTATTTAAAATTTCTTTTTTAAACTAGATAAAAACATTTCCCAACTTTATATAAACCAGGGCTTGAGGCAAAGGGAAATTCATAGCCATATCAACTGAGATAAGCCAGAGAAGACCAATAGCCTTGCACCAGTTGGTGTACCCAGTTTTCTTGGTACAGATCAGTGATTTTGTCAGGTCACTGATTTTGACCTTCCCTTCACATTCTGGTTACATGGTAGGATGGAAGATGCTGAGCATTTTCATTTCTTATCAGTTCTCCTCACTTCCAAGTAACCCAACTTTCCTAGTAACCCATCGCTCTGCTACAGAGAAGATACTTGAAATAAATGTAACCTTCCTATGTCCCCAGGATCTTTGCATGGTCCTTAGATGCCCAACTAGTGCTGTTTTAGTTTGGAATGATACAAAATACTGCTTTTTCAAAAATGTTGCATTATTTCACACTGAATTCTTCTAAAATTTTCTGTTAAAATTTAGTTGAACTGAAAAGAGGCTCCAGTGTTAGCAGAAGCAGAGCTTATTGGCAAATGCTAGAGAGGATAGGTTTTTAAGGCATTTACCTTTCACTTCTGTGAGAAATGTGGTTCTAGAGTTTGCTGTAGTGCCCAAAAAGAAACAAGAATTTTATGCCCTCAAGAGAAATGTGCATGTTCCTAATCAACGTTATTTTCTGAAGTCCTAATCCTGCAATAAGTTAGCTATTGAATTAGTTTTCAACTGTGATGTAAAAGCTATTCAAACAGATGGAAATTGAATTGTTGTAGAAATTACTGTTGTCTCAGGGAAATTGCAGATTGGTCTGTAGATAATCTTTAATATTAAGACCCAGTGAGAAGATGTTGAGGGGAAGATGCAGAAAAATGCATTCTGAGAAAGGACTGAACTGTAAAAGCTTTGACCATGATTGTAAAGGAGAAAACAAACAAGAATTGCTTATCATACGACAGTATAAAGCAAAGAAAAGCGTATTAATGCTGTGTAAGTCACACACATTGCTGAGTATTTTCTGCCTCTTTAGAGAACTTGATACATTTTAGCAGTGAAGCCCAGAAGCATCTCTAATAAGGATAGTTGAGGAATTCTGGTAGTAATTTATATTTTTCAGCACTCAAGTGGTTCAATAACTCTTGGTAGAGGTCTTTGGCTGATCACAGAGTGGTTTGCATTGGAAGATCATCTAGTTCTAACCCACTTGCCATGACAGGACACATTTCACTAGACCAGGTTGCTCAGAGCCCTACTGAACATGGCTTTGAACATTTGCAGGGATGGGGCATCCACAATTACATTGGGCAACCTGTGTTTCATCACCCTCACAGTAAAGATTTCCTTCCTAATATCGACTGTAAACCTACTCTCAAACCCATTCCCTCTTTATTTTCATGCCATTGTAAGTAGCTTTGCCATCTCTTTTCCAGACTGAACAATCCTAAATCTCGCAGCTTTTTCCCTCTGTTCCAGCCTTCTGATCATCTTGATGGGCTCCTCTGGACTCCCTCCAGCAGGTCCATGTCCTTCCTGTGCCGGGAGCCCAGAGCTGGATGCAGCCCTGCAGGTGGGGTCTCAGCAGAGCAGAGGGGCAGAATCCCCTCCCTGCCCTGCTGCCCACACTGCTCTGGATGCAGCCCAGCACACGTTTGGCTCTCTGGGCTGGGAGTGCCCATGGCTGGGTCATGTCCAGCCTCTCAGCCACAGCACCCCCAAGGCCTTCTGGGCAGGGCTGCTCTGATCTGTCCATCCCCATCCTATGCTGGTACCAGGCTTGCTCTGACCCAGGTGCAGCACCTTGCACTTGGTCTTGTTAAACCTCGTGAGATTCACATGGGCCCTGTCCTAGAGCTTGTTCAGGACCCTCTGGATGGCATCAAGTGCATTTAACTTGGTGTCATCTGTGAATTTTCTGAGGATGCACTTGATCCTTCTGTCTATGTCATTAATGAAGATACTAAATCACTGGTCCCAGTAAAGACCCCAAGGGACACCACTTGTTGCCAATGTCCATTGGGACTGAGCCATTGACCATGACCCTATGGATGTGACCCTCTAACCAATTCCTAATCCACCTAACAGTTCACCCATCAAATTCCTCTCTCCTATTTGGGGAGAATATTGTGGGGGACTGTGTCAAAAGCTTTACCGAAGTCCAGAAAAATGGTATCTGTAACCCTTCCCTTACCCACTGATGCAGCCACCCCATCATAGAAAGCCATTGGCTTGGTCAGACAGGACCTGCCCTTCCTGCAGCCATGCTGGCTGTCCCAAATCACCTGCCTGTCCTCCATGTGCCTTAGCACAGCCTCTAGGAGGATCTGTTCCATCACCTTCCCAGGCACAGAAGGCTGTCAAGGCTGTAATTCCCAGGGTCCTCCTTTCTACCCTTCTTAAAAATAACTACCACGTTTTGCCTTTTCCAGTCACTTGGGACTTGCCCTGAGTGCTGTGACTTTTCAAATGTCATGGAGAGTGGCTTGGCAACTACATCAGGCAATTCCCTCAGGACTCTGGGATGCATCTCCTTGGGTACTTTCAGGTGCTCTTGCTCTCTGTGGAAGAGTTGCTTAAAGATCTGCCAGCTCTCTTCTACTCCCTTGTCCCTGAGGGCAGTCTGTCAGGGGATCCCACTGACTAGGTTCCCAAAGGACTGGGAGTCTGCTTTCCTAAAGTTCAAGAGCTGGACTTTAACCCCTTACCCCGACCCCTATCCATCAGGACTGCACACTCCAGCCATGCATGATCCCTGCAGCCCAGGCTGTCTCTACTCTTGGTGTCCCAGTTTGCTCACTTGCACTGGTGACCAAGAGATCCTCCAACGAATTCCCTCGCAGGGCTGTCTATAACCTGGCTCAGAAGTCTCCTTAACGCGTTCCAGGAAACTCCTGCATTGCCTACAGCCCTCCAAGCTCCTTTCCCAACAGCTGCTGGGGTGGTTGAGTTCCCCCCGCAGGACAAGACCCTGCAGGCACAATGTCTCCTGTGTCTGGAGCAGGAAGGTCTGGTCAATGGGCTCCCCTTGCTCTGGCAGCTGTAGCAGACCCCAGACACGAGGTTCCCTTTGCTGCCTCAGTCATCTTTCCAGCTGCTCATGGGTGTTCTTCAGGGACAGCTCTTCACACTGCCTATTTTTTGGCTTGTGGTATAATTTGTACCCATGTGAGAAAGTAATAGCAGGCAGTAGTCCATGCTCTTGACAAGTTGGGCTACCCTCTTGACAGCATTATGGATCTTAGTCCCTGGTAGGTAGCATTACCTCTTGTGACTCTCTCAGGCCAACATGATATTGTAATTTGTAAGTTCATGCTGCCTTCCTAAAATAGTAATTTGGCAGTAAAGTTTATTTAAGAATAGATATTAAATAGCCATATATTTGTACATTTACTAAAACTCAGCTCTTGAGGAATCTGAACAAAAGCATGTGTACCTTCTTACATTAACAGTGGAAGTTGTACTCAGTCATAATTCAACCAGTAGCGGTAGCTAACGATTGTTTCTTAGGTTGACTGTATATCATTGGTACTCACTTCTTCCATCCATTCTTTTGATCATTTGTAGAGGCATATTAAAGGTTGATGCCTAGTCTAAGTTGCAATCTAAAATTCACTTTGGAGTGATTTGCTTGTACCAGGTAGCAGCAGCCCCTACCTCTGTGGGCAGCTGATCAGTCATGAGCTACACACTGAGAGCCACCTGGCTTCAGCAAATGTCCAAACCTGGGTACACTTGGAACACACCTGCATGCACAACTTGGGACACAAGAGCAATGCTAAAGCATAGTACTGCAGGACTGCAGAGGTGGGTTTTGCTAAGATGGTTAGCAATTGTGTCAGGGTCTAGTTTACGGAGTGGGAGGCAAGTGTTGTTTACTTGAATTATCAAGGTTTCAAATGCAACAGAACATTCAGAAACATATGAAAAACAGTAACAACTACCAACTCACATACGTTACCGTAAAGACAAATTGGAGTATATTTTTATTGACTTTAATCATGCTGAAGGTATTGAACCTCAAAAAGACTACAAAATTATTGTGGTCTACTACAAGCTATAGGACTAGTGCTGGAAACTCTGAATTGAAGAATTATTCAGCAAGAGCAAGGACAAACAGGTAAGAAAGTTTCTGCATAGTGAAAGATTGATAGTTTACCTTTGCTTTGCTGCCTGGTTGTTTCTACAGAAACACACATATTCTCATTAGTGAAGAGTAAGGAGGTTCTTTTTTAAAATTTTTTTAACAACTAGACTTTCAAATATAGTTACTCCAAAATAAACCATTTTGAAAGAATAGGGTGCAAGGAGAAATTGTTTTGTTACTGTTGACGGCAGAATATGAACAGAAGCTTGATGCATGACAGTAAAAATAACGTAATTTTTCTGCTTATTTTCCTTTGACATTTTATGATGTTGTATAAAAGGATAATGTATTCTTTCCCTTCATACCCTGCTTTAATTCTAATAATTAATTTCTAAAGAAAAATAGCAGAAATAAAAATGGGTCTGGAGCTAGAGACAAAATAATGGAAGATATAAATAGAATAGTACGTGAAATGATAGTGGAAATAATGGAAGTGGTTTTAGAACAGGGACATGATACAGTACAAGAAATAATGAATTACATAGAAAAGATAAATTGAGCTTTCCTGATGATCTTTTCTACTAACTCAGGAACAAGGTGAC